AAGTTGTACTACAAAGTCGCCAGTTCTCATCTTCCAGCTCCGCAGATTCTCTGCGCACTAAAGTTGTACTACAAAGTCGCCAGTTCTCAGCTTCCAGCTCCACAGATGCTGCGTGCCTGGCACGAAATCTGCACATGGAGGTTCACAAAGTGCTGTGCCTGCCACGAAATCTGCACATGGAGGTTCACAAAGTGCTGTGCCTGCCACGGCATCTGCGCATGGAGGTTCACAAAGGGCTGTGCCTGCCATGAAATCTGCACCGCGAGGTTCACACAGTGCTGTGCTTGCCACGAAATCTGCACATGGAGGTTCACACAGTGCTGCGCCTGCCACGATATCTGCGCATGGAGGTTCACACAGTGCTGTGCCTGCCACGAAATCTGCGCATGGAGGTTCACAAAGTGCTGTGCCTGCCACGAAATCTGCGCATGGAGGTTTACAAAGTGCTGCGCCTGCCACGAAATCTGCGCGTGGAGGTTCACAAAGTACTGCGCCTGCCACGAAATCTAAAGTTGTACTACAAAGTCGCCAGTTCTCATCTTCCAGCTCCCCAGATACTCCGCGTACTAAAGTTGTACTACAAAGTCGCCAGTTCTCAGCTTCCAGCTCCACAGATTGCTCCGCGTACTAAAGTTGCACTACAAAGTCGCCAGTTCTCATCTTCCAGCTCCACAGATTGCTCCGCGTACTAAAGTTGTACTACAAAGTCGTCAGTTCTCATCTTCCAGCCCCGCAGATACTCCGCGTACTAAAGTTGTACTACAAAGTCGCCAGTTCTCAGCTTCCAGCTCCACAGATGCTGTGCCTGCCACGAAATCTGCACATGGAGGTTCACAAAGCGCTGCGCCTGCCACGAAATCTGCGCCGGTGCCCAGCCGACGCCAGACGACGCCAGGGCGTACATCCGACCCCTTGGCAAGCAGCAAAGTGCTGCGCCTGCCACGAAATCTGCGCCGGTGCCCAGCCGACGCCAGACGACGCCAGACGATGCCAGGGCGTACATCCGACCCCTTGGCAAGCAGCAAAGTGCTGCGCCTGCCACGAAATCTGCGCCGGTGCCCAGCCGACGCCAGACGACGCCAGGGCGTACATCCGACCCCTTGGCATCCGACCCCTTGGCAAGCAGCGGGCGTGTTGGAGATGTTGTGTGAGTGATGTTGTGTGTGGGATGTTGTGTGAGTGATGTTGTGTGTGAGATGTTGTTGTGAGAGATGTTGTGTGAGTGATGTTGTATGCGAGACGTTGTGTGTGGGATGTTGTGTGAGTGATGTTGTGTGCGAGATGTTGTTGTGAGAGATGTTGTGTGAGTGATGTTGTGTGTGAGACGTTGTGTGTGGGATGTTGTTGTGAGAGATGTTGTGTGAGAGATGTTGTGTGAGTGATGTTGTGTGAGAGAGGCAAGCAGCAAAGTGCTGCGCCTGCCACGAAATCTGCGCCGGTGCCCAGCCGACGCCAGACGACGCCAGACGACGCCAGGGCGTACATGAAGAAGGAGGGAGGAGGAGGAGCGTGGAGATGCAGCAAAAAAACAAGAACCCCACACAACAATGTGGGGAAAAAGCTGGAGTTTTTCCTTTAGACGTTGAGACCCAGGGCAGGTGATCTTGTATGAAACCTGTTACGTGGCAGGCCCACAACCGTTGCAATTTCGGGGCTACGTCCTTCAGTCTATGTGTCTTTTTGCTTTTCCTTTGGACTTTGAGAGCTAGAGCAGCTGATCTTCTATGTAACCTGTTACGTGGCGGGCCCACAACTGTTGCAATTCAGCCACCAGTCAGGTCCTTCAGTCTCTGAGTCTGTACTCTCGTTTCTCCCTATGTGGCACGGAACGCTACGCTTGCTTCCCAAGAAAGCTCTCCATGTCTTAAAAACAATGCAACATGGTTTTCCCTTGCTCTGTAGCTGAGATGTTGCATGGGATCTCACCCAAAGCTGGGCTGTCGGACAATGCCGAAGTCCAAAGCGTCTCGCACCTATCTCAGCTAGGAAAAGAAGACTTACCTCCTTCGGGGAGACAATTCACACCTGACTGAACACTACCGTAGTACAGTGACTACAACTCGCAATTATTGATCACCTCTCTCCAACATAATATGTTCTGCGCTCAATTCCAGGATGAAAACATGCTCTTCATGAATCTCCAGCTATAACCACAAAAACTATACGTAGAGGATCAAGACAGGGATTGAAGATTAAAAACCCTTTGGGCATCTGCATCGGACATCATGCCTTTGGACAAATCTGCATCGGGTGATGGGGCTCAACCCTGTCATGCTTGCACGCATGGCCTTTTTCAGCACCAATCCCTTCGGATTTCCCCCATCGCACCTCTGCAGGTAGGGCTGCCATAGGAGCTGAAGGCCTAGAAGTTGAGATTGAAAGATCTCAATGTTCAGGGTGAACAAGCAAGATCCACCAGAATTATTGCTCAAAGTAACCCAAAGGCCACACGCGAGTACTTCAACCAATTCACGGACCAAAAATGTGGTCGTGCTGGTGTCAAAGATCGCACAGCGCCTGGGATCCATCAAGTTGATGGAACAGGGCGTTGGGGACGTAGCGTTGCTGCCTTGGCGGTGAGTGGCTCCTGTGGAAGCTCTCGCACCAATTTTGACTCAAGTTCGTTGAGCTTCTCGTCCAAAACGGCGACGGTCAAAGCAAACTGATTTAATCATCAACCTGTTCAAACAGATTATATATTCATATTCTAGATTGCCGCATGGGCTGGTTGCTGCTGTGATATGATCCAGACTCTGATGTGCATTAGCGTGACTCTTCGAGGGTACCATTCTCCACACATAGGCCCCAAAAACCCTCATGTCAAGTCAGCAAGATGACAATCCTTCCAACAACAAGGCAGCACCGTCATCTGGGTCATGACTGAAAACAGACATCGTTTGAAGTTCGGTCAATGACAACTCTCCTGCCCAAGCCAAACTGACCGAATACGGTTCGCGGGCGAGCGCTCTCAGCCCGAGTTGCCGCAGTCCACGTAGTATGCACCCGAAAGCGCCGCAAAGGGATGGACGTGGGGACCGTTCCTCAACGCCATCGGTTCACCATGTCCACCCACCAGGGCTTTTTGGCACAAGCTTTGAATTACAAGTCAACCTTGAGACAAAGCACTTTAAGATGAATTCCTCAAAGCTATGTCCAACTCATCTAGGACAATGCAACCATCTCCACGAAAACCCTTGATTCACATCCAGTCTGAGCCTCCTGGCAAGCCACATGCAGGGTTCACGTTTGCCCAAGAGGCTTCGATGGCAATCTCCACATGTTCGCTTTCCTAAGTCAGGCCCGCGAGCAAAAGTCTCACCGCCAAAAAGCTGCACGAACATGTTCGGAAAAAAGAAGAAATACCTAGCTGCTAGTAGCTGCTAGCAGAAATACCCTATAGATGCCCTTTTTGTAAAAGGAAAGGCGAAAAGGAAAGGGTATTTCTAACGGCGGAGCATCTGATGATCCGTCCGTCTCTCTGTTTGCCCTCGCCTCGCCCAGGTACTCCTTCAGGGCTTCCTCCACAGCTTGCCGGAGGCGTCGCACCTGTTGCACATGTGAAAATCCAGAAATGCGAGGTCAGAGGAATATAGTTAATTCTATGGGACGGACCCTGGTTGTTTTTTACTGTCTATATACCAATCTGGGACACGTGCTAGGAATGCCTAGATCTGTAGAACCTTGCAAGAACAGAAGCGCTTGTCTTTAAAGTTTCGAGTGGCTTCATGGAAACATGGAAACATGTTTCGCACGCAGTGAAGAGTGTTTGCTTGGAACCGCGGTTTAGAGATGTTTGACATGCGACAGGGAACTGAGTGATGCATGTAAAGAAAAACACTAATTACCCCAATTAAGCAAGCTGAAGAGTAACAAGGCAAACTCATGCGCAAAAGATCCGCATTTGCCCTTGCTGTTACTGAGTGATGTATGCCTTGTACCACCATCTCACTGGCGCCAAAGATACGCCTGCTTTCGAATGCCGGAGCTCTTGGGATGCGCCTCCACGAGAAAACGGCATAAACTCGCAATACGCCGTGAGAACGTAACAATTCGGCAACAGCGATGCATTTGATGTACTCACTGGTTTGTTTGAATAAGACGCTTCCAACAGTACCAAAACATAAAACCCTAATAATGAACATCGTGTTTCATGCTTCAATTCATGCCTTGCGAACCGCTAGTTAACAGGAGCTGTGAACAAACCTATGGGTCACCTGAAGGTCCACGAAAACTCAGCGCACTCATTTTCTCTCCTGCGCTTGCGGGGTCAGGAAAAGATCACTAAGAGAACTCTTCACTCTGGCAGCTCTGTATGCTTCTGATCTTGTGATCTAACCTCGACAACTGCTAAAACTACGACGATCTGTTCACTTTCTGACTTAGGATCTAAAATATGTTGCTAGTCCCAAGACAATCCGAGCTCCCAAAATGTTGGTTCTTTCTGGCGGCATCAAGAGCTTAAGCTCACGTCAGGCATGGACTAAAGCAATTCACAGCTGAGTGTCCAACACATTTGAAACCAACAGTCGAATCAGAAGGACTTGGTCACATCTCTAAAGAATAAATTGTTGAACAGTTGCAGTGAACTCTAAACCCGCACAGCTTTGGCTTTTGTTTAGGTACGTATCTTTTCCAAGAAGGACACGTTCTTCGCTTTCGGTTTGCTTTTCCGCACCCGGAGCTTGAAAGGGAGCACTCTTTGGCTCGCCTCGGCCCACCGCCGGTAGAGCCACGCAAAGCGCAGCAAAGCGCACCGGACATTCTTCGCACGTAGCAGCCCTAGTTACTAGTAGCGAACCTTGTTACTACTAGCGTGGCACCTGTTACTACTAGCGTGGCACTTGTTACTAATAGCTTTTTGTTACGACTAGTAAGGCACTTGTTACTAGAAGCGATGCACTTGTTCCTAGTAGCGTCCTCTTGCTCCTAGTAGTAAAGCCAGGAGCCCCTAGTAGCGAAGTCTTCTCTTGCTATTGATCTTGTGAATGTCATAGACAGCCCCTCCATCCACCTCCATGCAATCGGTGTTCAGCACCGTTCTCGTTATAAATAACCCTTGGACCGCATGAAACAGATTGGGAGCCAGGAACCTGAAATATACCAGAGTCAAAGTACAGGTGAGATTTGAGGTATACTTCTTTGACGTACGGCCTGCATATCTAGACAATGTCAAACAATGTTGATGTATTTGTTGCGCAAGCTTTCCAAGTGATTGAAATTAATCTGAAAAGCTGGCAGGCTTGAAGACCTCCAAGTCTGCTTAGAAAGGGGTGGAGAAAATGGACAGAAATGGTAAGAACTAGAAAGAAATTGCTCCACGTGGCGGTCAGATGATTGGCCTTCCTCACGTGTTTGTGCCTTGCAACACCCTCCACCACTCACCATCATCAGAGGTTGCGTTTTGAGGTTCTCTGCCAAGCTTAATGCTAGAGATTACTAAGAAATACGCTCAAAAAAAGTGAAACTCGGAGCCAGTTTAGACGATCGATTAACATCTCACTTCCACTGTGTTTGATCTGAACATAAAGACGCGAGCAGCCTCCATCTTTTGGACTGCTCAGGGCGTGGGGTCGAGCAGGTTTGGATTTGTCCATTGAAACCCTGAGAATCCTGTATTGAAAAAATTCAATAAAAAGTGCATTTTCAATATCACCAATTAGAATTCAATATTGCGATATTGAATTTGGTGCCAATTCAATAAGAAAAATCAATTGTAAAATCAATAATATTGAAAATAAAAATTCAATATTTTGGTCCATGAAAATGGTCTGTTTTTGACCTTTTTGGGGCATCACATCTTCAAAGGGCTTCAAAGACCTTTTGCAAGTCCTTGTCAGCTCCAACCAAGGAATCTTCAAAGACTTTTCCCAGAAGACCTTTTTCAGGTCCTCACAACACCATCATGTGTTGGAGGTGCTTGCCTATTTGATACTTCAGGCAGACAGTGGTGCTCACCTGCCATGGTGGAAGGCCTGCCAGGCATGCGCTTGCTAACCTGGTAGCATTTCCCACCAGATGCTCACCAGGGTAGCACCAGACCCTTTCTGGGTTCAAGAAGCAGCAATCTTCTGAGATGTGCTCTTGGTAGTGCATCTTTGGAATTTGGCTCCACTGATACCTGAGATCTGTGCAGCAGAAGAAGATGCAAAAGCTAAAGAAAGCTACCAACATGTATATAATCGTCCAAGGGGCTGGCCAACCTTCTCAGTTGAAGCAGCACTGATCTTGCTCAAGCATTCATAATGTCTGAGAAACCTGGAGGTGGCTGCCTGGTAATCTTTGATTTCCTGCTTGGTCAGGAACATGGCAGCATTATGTGTGATGTTGTACAGCTTCTCAAGGCTTTGTAAGCAATACAGCCTATGCTTGCAATAAATGGTATCAGAATGGAAATCTTTACAGAGCTTTGCAGCCACTGGAACAAGCCTTGCCACCTGCTTGGCTTTGATGGCACTGTGGAGCAAGCCTGGGTAGTGCTGGTGGGGTGCATCTGCATTAGTGAAGGATGACCAAGTCAATCGCTTCACCCTCACATCATGGGGTGTATTGAGGGCAATGTATGCTTCAGTAACCAATTGGTTCAGCTTCTGGATCCTGTCTTTCTTTTTCAGTTTGTCCAAGTGCTTGTAGCAAATGTCATAGAAGACATTTGCCACTGCAGAAGCAGAGAACCCAATATCAGCACAATGCATAAAGTCATATGCAAAGGTAAAGCTGTTCACCCCCCTGGATGCTGAGGAGCCAGTGGTTGGTGAGTGGTTTTTTGGCCAATTCAGCTGGAGTGTAAAGGAGGCCTCTCCATTTGGCTTTGGGGCCAAAATCATTCCAGGGAGCAATGCTTGTGTCACAACTGCATCGCATACATGGGTGCTTTGCCCCATGGTGTGGAAGCCCATACTCCAAGCTGTTGTGCTCACAATCTGCAGGTGTGGCCCATATGATAAACCTCATGCCATTTGTGCAGATTGACTTTGAAGCCACAGATTGCCTGTCGCTTGACAGGAATGTTACCCCATTTTGGTCTGCCCTGGGGTGTTTACCATTGAAGAGGCAGTTAAAACTCCATGCAAGTGCTTTGCCAACAGTGTCCATTGTAGGCTCCACATCCTTCAGGCCCAACTCAACAATCTTGCTCTTGCTCAAAAGAGCAGAGTTAGGGATGCTGCAAAGCAAGAAGCTGCTCTCTTCCAACCCAAGCCTTTTGTCCTGTGCTGCCAATGAGTACATTGTAATGGTATGTAATGAATCCACCTTGGAATGGGGGGCCTTTATCAGCATGAACCACAAGTGGCATGAAGACTTCCTTCTGCTGCATCAGGATGGGGTTTCTGTGGAGCTTTGGATCCTCCTTGTTGACCCCTTTCCAAAAGGTTCTGCAGTCTGCCATTGCCCCAATACAATGCTCTAGCAATTGATTCTGTGACAAGCAGGCTACCCAGTCATGGGGCAAAAATACTGACAAGTCACATAGTTCCACCCCATGATGGGTCACACAATGTGCCTGGACTGTATATGGGCTGGGGGCCATGAGAGTTTTCAAGGCTGGGTGCCTCAACAAGTCTCTCTGGGTGTTGGCAGGGTTGTGGCCGAAGCTGCCACAAGCTGCCAAGGCCTGGAGGTCACCTGGCACTTCCTGCCAAGTGTTGAGGCAAGCTCCAGCTATTTCATTCAGCTCCAAGGCTGATGAATTCCCCCAGCTCCACTTTTCTAGAAGCTTGTAGGTGATTGGAGACAAACCACCAAAACTTGGCCATACCTTTTCAGTTTCTTGACCTTCTAACCTTTGTTTTTTTTGATGTCTTCCACCTCTGCCATCTGTTCTTTTGGGCATTCAATGTGCCCAGAGTCTTTTGGCAAGACCCTGCCCAATGTGATGTAATTGCAGTCTGCCTTTTGGCAAGGCCCTGCCCAATGTGATGTACACACAAGAGCCTTTTGGCAAGGCCCTGCCCAATGTAATGCACACAGCAAAGCCAAGTGCGAGCCAAAGGCTTGCTGAAGGAAGAGAGGCTGTGAGCTGCTACTTTACCCTGTTGAAAACCAGCAAGAAAGTCATGTGGAAACAACAGCCCTGTGCAAGCAAAAGCGCACCTTTTGTTCCACAGAGAAGGTTCAACCCAAAGCCCTTTGGCAGGGCCCATTACAAGCCCTTTGGCAGGGCCCCACTACAGTTTGGATGGTTGCCCTGATATCTTTCTTAAAGGATTGTCGATTTTTCTTCCAGCTACAGCATGAACAATGTCCATCCCCTCCACAACAAGCCACCCCAAGACTTTGAGCCTGAGAACTGGGTCTGAGTTGACCAGCTTTTTGAATTCTTCAGCATCTGCATGGCACCTTTCCAGTGCTGGCCAATCAGGCTTGAAGATGCCATCATACATCAGAACCTCTTGGTTCTTGACATAATCAAAAAAGAACACTTTAACATTTTCAGTGTCATCCAACTGCAAAGTTACTCTCGCAAATGGCATCTTTGATTCAAAAACAATCATGTGTGTGGTGCCCTTTCTCAGGTCACCCATTTGGGGCCCTTTCCCAGGTCCCTTAAACCTTTGAAAAGTGAAGCTTGGGCCACAAATCTGCTTTGGTAAACAAATAAGGCTGTCCTGAAAGCAGCACATGAAAGAACCCAGTGTAGAGACAGCAGTGAAGAGACAGCAACTCTTTTTTCACTGGGGATGAGTTGGAGTTTGTGCTTGGGCTGTGCCTTTTTCCAAGGCCAGTTAGCAAGCCCTTTTCCAAGGCCTCTTATTGGTGCCTTTTGCCAAGGCCATTTGGAGCCCTTTCACTGGGCAGTCAAACTCTTCAAGGCCCTCTTGCCCACTAGGGCAGCTGAGTTCATGGCCTTCTTGATGACCCCAAGCCTGGCCCCTTCAAGGCTATCCAAAGTAGTCAAAGCATTTTGGATCTCTTCTTTGAGTTCATTGTCTGGAAGTTTGGAGGCCACTTTCTTTAAATGAGCTCTCAGCTTTTTCTTGGCATCATTCAAGGTTTTATCA